TGTACTCCACGCCAGTGTAGTAGCCACGGTCGTCCGCAGGCCACGAAGTGAAGTGTCCGAACGTCATAGGGCGGGAAGCTGGGTGTGGGTGGTGGCGAAGAGTCGTGTGGATATTTGGTAGAGCTTGCACTGCCCCCCCACAAAGTGGGGGTATTGGCTGGCGTCGCATGAAAACCCTGGCACTGGTGAGAACACTGAGCGTTCGGGTAAAGTGATTGTTGCTGTTGTTGCTGTTGTTGTTGTTGTTGTTGTTGTTGTTGTTGTTGTTATTTGTTCAGTACTGAACAACTGTTATTGTTGGACACCTTAAAGGCGCTCTGGCGCTCTCGCCGAGGCGCCGGCTACATTTTCATTGAACATGAGGTTCACGCTGGAGCGGTTTGGGGAATCGCCAACACCGGCCCCCCAACAACAACATCGCTCCCGCTCAAGACTTCATCCTTTTTTCTCAGGGCTGGTGTTCTTGCTCGCCGCCGGAAGCCGCCGTCCTAACAAAACCAGCGCTCCCGCTCGAGACTTCCTCCCGTTTTACCTTGGACTCGCGCGCTAGTCTTTCTCTCATCGGCGCCGCCCCCAGCAAAAACAACGCTCCGGTTCGATGCTGCCTCCTATTTTTACTCAAGGCGGTGCTCCTCCTCGCCGCCGAAAACCGCCGCCCCGACAAAACCAGCGCTGCCGCCCGAGACTTCCTTCCGTTTTACGCTGGACTGGCGCCCAATTCTCTTTTGAATTGGCGCTGCTTCCAGCAAGAACAACGCTCTCGCTCGAGGCGTCCTCCCTTTCTCATGAAGACGGTGCTGTTCTTCGCCGCCGACAACCCCCGTCCCGACAAAACCACGGCTCCCGCTCGATGCTTCCTCCTATTTTTACTCAAGGCGGTGTTCCTCCTCCCCGCCGCCGAAAACCGCCGCCCCGACAAAACCAGCGCTTCCGCCCGAGACTTCCTTCCGTTTTACGCTGGACTGGCGTCCAACTCTCTTTTGAATTGGCGCCGCTCCCAGCAAGAACAACACTCCCGCTCGAGATTTCCTTTCTTTTTCCTCAGGACGGTGCCGTTCCTCGCCGCCGACAGCCCCCGTCCCGACAAAACCATGGCTCCCGCTCGATGCTTCCTCCTTTCTTACTCAAGGTGGTGTTCCTCCTCGCCGCCGCAAGCCGCCGTCCCAATAAAACCAGCGTTCCCGCTCGATACTTCGTTTTGTTTTACGCTGGACTAGCGCCCTACTCTCTTTTCAGCAGCGGCGCCGCTCCCAACAACAACAACAGCCCTGCTCGAGACTTCCTCCCTTTCTATTCAGGGCCAGGTCCTTGCCTCACGGCCGACAGCCCCCATCCCCACCAAGGCAATCCTGTCGGTCGCTATTTCCTTGTGCTTTACCCTTTGCTGGGGTTCCACTTGGTGGTCTCGCATCGGCGCAGCAAGGCGCAGGCATATGTTTTCGAGGCGGGATATGTTGAAATTCCTCGGAGGAGGTGTGTGTGTGTGTGTGCAAGACCTCATTGGGCGGGAGATCTGGGAATGGGAATAACGGACCCCGCTATAGAACAAGAGTCCCCCATTACGTGGATGGTAATCATGATGGTCGCATGTTCTGTGTGGAGACATCGCGCATGAGGGTCAACTGATTGTTGTTGTTGGTGTTGTTGTTGTGCTGGTAGTATTGAATACTCATTTCTAAAGAAAAATATTGTTGATCTCCTGAAGCGGTTCCCCGCGCTCTCGCCTCGACGCTTCTCTGAATACGAGGCTCCCGCTCGAGCGTTGGCTTGACTCTAAATGTGAGTGGGCCCTTGGCGGCCCAGCTACGACAACAACGACTCCCGCCCGATACTTCCTCACAATTTACCCCGAGACATCCTGGCCAGAGAGGCCCCCGAACTCAGGAACGGCAGTCTCGCTCGAGACTTCCTCGCAATTCAACTAAGTTGGCGGAGGCCCAGCTACGACAACAAGGGCTCCTGCTCGATATTCTCTCACGGTTTACTCCGAGAGCCCCTGGCCAAAAAGGCCCCCGAATTCAGGAACGGCGCTCTCGCTCGAGACTCTCCCGTAATTCAGGCAAGTTGGTGAACCTGGACACGGCGACAAGGGCTCCCGTTCGATATTCTCCATATGTATTCCGGGGGCCCCTGGCCAGAGAGGCCCCCGAACTCAGGAACGGCGCTCTCACTCGAGAATTCCTCGCATGTCAGTCAGTGACCGACAAGGAAGAGATTCCCCCCCAAAGGGGGTGCAATCGAAGACGAAGTGGGCGGGCGGGTATCGAGGGTTAGGATATACGGAGTGCAAGACACGCGTGCCAGTAAGAGCGAACAGTCTTTACATTATTGTTGTTGTTGATCTCTCAGCGCAGAGAAAGAAATATGGTTGATCCCCCCTCTGGCGCACATAGTGTTTGTTCTACTGCAGTGCCCTTCCCATATATATATATATATATATATATATATATAGATATCGAATAAAAAAGCAGGGAAAGCATAGAGTCTCAGAATTGTGTTGTTGGCCCCCAGTTTATAACAACAGCGGCTTTCGCGCATTCGTTTCTCAAATCGCGCTCTCGCGCGGGACGTCCTCACAATTTGTTGCAGAAATCACGCTCTCGCGTGGGACTTCTTCGCCATGTATTCAGACGCCGCGCCTTCGACACTCATGAATCACGCTCTCGCTTTGGCCTATCTCACGATCTACTTGATAATCGCGCTGTCGTTCGAGACTTCCTCGCGATTTATGCAGGACGCACGCTTCAGCAACCCGCTTGCTCGACCTGGCCGCCTCGGCCCGCCTACCGACCCGCCTGTTAGGGTGCACCCGCCCGATCAGCCCGTTTGGTTCTGCCACGTGTTTTCTGCTCCTTGCCCCCCTCCTGCTTCTCTCTCTCTCTCTCGTGCTCCATCCTCTTCCTCCTTCCTTGTCCCTTTTTTCCATCCGTCCTCCCTTCCCCTGCCGTAGGGGCTGCATGCAATACACGTTGCAGGTAAGAAAGATATACCCCCAAGGGGGTACGATCGAAGACGAAGAGGGCGGGCACCGATGATTTAGGATATACGTGTTGGATGGCACGCGCGCATATAAGAGCGAACAGTCTTAAGATGACTGCTGATGCTGCTGTAGCTAGGGGGCAACAATATGTTTGAGCAGAACAATTATCCATGATATAAACAGGGTGCGAGCCCCGAGGGGGCGCACTTCAATTGAAAAACAAATGTGCGCCGGCTGGGTGAACAGCAATACTTGTTCTTGAAGGGTGAAAGATCAGCAACAACGAGCAAGCAGGAAGAGAGCGAGACGGAACGAGAGCGAGAGCGAGGGCGAGTGGAGGGCACATTGGGGTTTCGGTCAGGCGGTCCAGCAGTGCAGCGGACCACTTCTGCACACCCGCGAAGAAATATTGAAGGACATGTGGGAGCACAGGGGGCAAGGGTTGGCCAGCACAAACGCAGAACACAATGGCTCCACTTCCCTGGGGATGCTGCCCGTGCGGGGCACCTGCCATTGATAATGGGACTGAAACGATGCCGCGAAACAGGCCTGCGTCCACAGGCTTTGGACAGACTGCCCAGTGGATGAGCGTTCCTCGCCACACGAGCGGCGATGGGGGATGGGGGGACAGGAGAGATCTGCGGTTTCTTGACAACCCGAACGACACTTTACAACCGATTTAGTTCAGTTTACAACCAGCAACTATCGAAGTCCATGGTTTTCCTTTGAGAACGACCACTCTACAGCCAGAGCGGCCCACTTTACAACCATAACGATCACTTTGCAACCCAGACGGGGCTCTTTGCAACCATAACGGCCACTTTACAACCAGCCTTCAGAAGCGCAGAAGCGCGTGAGCGCTCTGTAGAGGCTTCTGAGGCTTCTGAACGCCTTTGCGTCCTGCAGATGCTTCTGAGGCTCTTGAGCGCTTGAGTGATCTGCAGAGGTCTCTGAGGAGAAGGATGACGAGGGTTCGAAGGAGGGGGACCGCTTTGCGGCTGCTACCGCCGCGTTGCTGCTTTCCGGGGCTTTGGGAGGGCCTCCTGGGGGATGCAAAACATTTCTTGGCTGCATTTCCACCCTCCTGGGTGCGCATGCTTCCGCGAAGATGAAGGCAACAGGTTTTGCGATTGCCATCCGATGAGGCGCGAGGGCAAAACATGTTTGCAAGGCCAAAACATACAAGTTGAAATCCGCATGCGTTGGCTAGATTTTCATCAACGATGTCTTGTGCACATGTCCGCCCTCCTGGGTACGCATGCTTGAAACTGACATGTATTGGTTCGACATGTACCATGCATTTCTTGGCCACATGTCCGGTTTCCTGGGTACGCATGCTTCAGCACATGCGAAAACATACGGCTGTGTCTTTACCGGACTCGTGTTGGATACCCATGGGACTCATCTTGTGCCAACAGGATCTCAGTGGGAAGGGTGCCACTAGATTCCACTAGGCTTCCTTTTGGATCCCATGAGGAATCGGCCACTTCAAATATTCTCGCTTTAGACGAGTCACTTTACAACCAACACGCTTCAGAGAGCGAGTTGTCTCCATTTCGTGGGCCCATGGATATTTCGGAACTAGTCGAACATTTGTCACTTATGTGCGTTTACTTGCCTGGTTGTAAAGTGGCCTTCCTGGTTGTAAAGTGCCCTTGTGGGAAGACCCATGCTGGTTGCAAAGTGCCCCATTTGGTTTCAAAGTGGGCGCTCTGGTTGGAATGTGACCCGCACGCGGGGAGGGGATGGGGGGGAGGGGGACGGAGCTCGATTCCCAGAGGTCCGGCGATGTTTTCTTTGTTTCTGTTCCAATCCGCGGCTCCAGAGGTCCCGACCCTTTGCGCAGTGGTAGTCGCTCGTCCTGTCACTACGCTCGATTGCCCCAGCACCGAAAAAAATGCGACCCAGAGCCCGAAATCGAGGAGCACCGCCGGCTGAAAAAATCAGATCGTCGAAGATCAGGGCTCTGGCTCTTGCCCCAGAAGAGATGAGGCCCCCACCGCACCCCTGGCCGCCGCAGTCCTCCTTCCTGGAGACGGACCGGCACGTCCTGGACGTGAGCAAGGCCCCCAGCGACTGGAGCTGGGTCGGAAGGCTGGCTCTTTTGCTTGGGTGCGGCTCGCGCGCTCTCTAAATAGACGGGAGAGGTGACGCTCCGAGAAGAAAAGCAATTGTATAGACTCGGTACCGTTTAACCGATCCCCATCCCCATCCCCATCCCCTTCGAGACCCCCACCAAATTACCCCCTGAGTTGGGGATACACCCCTCGAAACCCGAAGGATACGGCCTATATCCCCATCTAGGGGGGTAGATCGGCCAGTGGGCCCAGGCCACGCCGCTGGGGATGGGGATCGGTTAAACGATACTCATAGACCTAGATGTTCGGAGCTCCGCGCGGATGTCTTGGATATGCGCCGACCTCCGCGCCGATCCGAGAAATTCGCGCGGAGCGCCACGTGTTTCTGTTTTGCCGTTGCTCTTCCTTTAGGTATGAGGTGCGACGGGACGGCACGGCGGAAGGAAGGCTTGGAGGAGAGAGTAGTGCCCCCCAGCGATCGGGAGCTGGGCTGGGCGGATGGCGTCTGCTTGAGTGCGACCCGCGCGCCCACTCAACTGAAAGGACACATTCCAGGCCTCGCAGATGTGGCCTGAGTAGATGGGGTTGGTGGATCGCGCCGCATCGCCGACTCATCGCCGATGTGGCTAGATGGGGAGCCGGATTTTCTTCACGCCAGCGGCGCCGATGCGTCGCCGATGTCGCCGATGCATCGCCGATGCATCGCCGATGTATCAGCGATGCATCGCGATCTTTCGACCCCATCTACTCGGACCCCATTTGGCAGGCCTCCAGATAGAAGGCTGGGCAGGACGACGTGGAAAAAGGAAGGGAGGCTGGGAGGAGTAACGGTCCCCAGCGATTGGGAGTTGACTCCGAAATCTGGTTGTTGCAAGTGTTAGTCAGAAGAGAGGAGGCGGGAGGGGATGGGATGGAGCCAGTATTCCGATAGACCGGATGAAAGGAACCTGATAAGGGGAACAGGAGGTCGTTAGGGGCACGTGAGGGGCTCTTGGCATCTCGATGATTTGTGGTGTCTCAAGCATGAGAATTTGAAGGGCCAGGTCTGCGAGCTGATGGTGGGGCGTTCAGATTCCGACCCTCAGCAACAGAGGTCACAATAGCTGCGACGTATAATCGATGGCCACGCCCTCCCGAATCATTGGCAAACCTGCCACTAGTCCCTCATGACTCAACAACGACAGCTGCCAGGCATACCAGCCCCGCCCTGTTCCGCCTTATACGATGGAAAACTTGCCGCCAACCCTCCTGTATGCGCCCAAGGGCATGCAGTAATTCGAACTTTCTGCGCACGTGCAGCACTCATGGTGCCAGTGTGTGGGTGGACTGATGTGTTCACGTACTTCACGTGCTTGTACATGCAAACGCATGCAATCTTTACGCGCCCCATACACACAGCTACCCCCATGTAGAGCTTCCGGGACTGCGCCGAAGGTAGCGACTTCGGCACGCCTCGGAGGGTTGCGCAGCATGGGGCAGGGGGCTTGTTCTTGATTATCGCAGCTCCCAGCTAGGATCTCAAGATCTGCGGTCTGCTGTCGTGATGGGGTTCCGCGCTGCACTCAGGCGCATGGATTCGGGCCGACAGGCAGAGGAGGCCGAGGATCAAAAGGATGGGGGGATTGAGAGGCCCGAGGGAGACAGAAGGATGAGGCTTCCTCCTTGTCTTCCTACTCGTCCGCATCCTTCTCCCATCACTTCTTGTACGTCCTTCCCCTGCCCTTGGTCATGATGCATTTCCTCCTCCGTATTTTCAGCGACAAAAAGTCAGGCACAAGATGGTGGAAGGCTCGGCCGCTGATCGGTCCAGGCGCTTGGCCCGTCTCCATTGCACGAACCAGTCAACCGTAATCTCAGCCCCCGAGCAACTTCTTTGCTCGGCCGCTGCGGCGCCAGTTTGTTGTCGAGCCTTGTCGTGGTCCTCGGCGCGATAGATAGTTTGGGCCCCTGGGTTTCGGGCAGGATAGAAGCGTGCAGTGGCAAAGCTCGTGGCGCAGTCGAGGTCGCTCTTGGCGCTCCCGTGCTCAAACCCTCAGGAGCGCAGCAGACCTCCGCACAGCCACCGGCCTTGTCTACCCTGCCTCCTTCACGTGATGCTGCCGGCGGCGTCGTCGATGCAGCTCGCTCACTTGCCACCCCGGGATGTACGTGAACTGCCAGTGTGTTAACGGCTGGTAGGCTGCCCGTCGGTCTCGAGACGGCCGTGCAGGATGCTGAACAGACCGCCACGGGAACCCAAGAACGCTACCTTCAAAACCGCACGGTGACTGGCTTGCAGTAGCTGTTCGCCCTTATGGCCGCACACGGTCGAATTACGGAATGATGCCCGCTCACACTCCGACCGCTTGGGTGAGCACGAACATGTCCGAGCTGAGCAGGGCACGCTGCAGAGGAAGTCATCCGGGATGCCCTCGCCACGGCTGAGCGTTTTGCTGAACTTACCGACGTCGGTTGCCTGGTGCAGTGGAGTGGATCTCTTATGCCAGGCATTTGCGACCAACACTGCGGACGTGAGCACCTGTGCAGATTTTCCTGGACTTGGTCGCATGTGCTACCTATGCCAAGGCTGAGACGCAGGATCCCAGCTTGCAAGGATATGTCTTTGCAAGTCGTTTCTTCTTGAAGGTCACAGTCAGCTTGGTCTGTCCTCACGAAGCGGTCGCGCGGGGAAGGATGGTGTTCGTGCTGATGGTGTATCTGCTTCCATGTGCGTCTCTTCGGACCGCACACCCAAAACGAACTGTAGGCAGTCGAAAGTGGACCCCTTCGACGTGATCCTTATACATAGGAGTGGCCCGTCTGCGGTCCTTTCCAGGGATGTCGTATATACTGTGGTCAGCTACGATGGTGACTGTCCTTGTCACCAATTTCTTGATTACTTGACCCACGGACGAGCAGATGCCAGGTTGTTGGTTCGAAGACACCGGGACGCAGCTGTACAAGTTGAGGGGCTTGCGAAACAAAGTGGAGTCTAATACGTTCGATGGCAGGATGCACAAGCGAAGGTCTAGGAAAGCAGCGCCAGAACGGCCTATGGCAGGGATTTCCAATTGGAAGTTGCTGTCGCAGCTACCCGACATAGGCATAGGCTTGATTTGCAGCCAGCGCTCTTTATCTCTAGCAAGTCGAGGCCGTCGTCGACGAAACGACCCCGAAAGTGTATATCGCCCTGGCTGCAATCGACAACAGTGTGATCGGAATCATCCAAATGAGCTTTGGCCATGAACACTCCGCTGGACAGCCCTGTGGGGATGCCCTGGGAGACTTGGTATAATCGTGTGTAACGCTCGGCGTAGATAGATTCTGTGATCGGCGTGGAGGTGGCACCCGCGACCCCAGCTGGCACGACGACACATTCTTCCGCCGCTTCCTCCACCAGTATGAGCCGCTGTGAGTCGCCCACACGCCGCCGCCCCAGGGGGGCCCGTCCGCGTGGGCCAGCGGTCAGCGGCGCACCTGGTTCTCGCGGTCTGTGGCCTACCTGGCTTCGTTTCACATGCAGTTGCAGCGACATTCACGTGGACTGGGTATGGGTCTGGCAGCGCCCGCGCCACGGACTCCATGGCCCAGGATCGCGACAGCGGCAGCCCAGGCAAGGGGAAAGGCAGCGGCTGGCAGGGGGAGACAAGCGCCACGCCGATTCTACCTGGCCTGCGAGTGGCCCTGCCAGGGTACGCGGTCTATAGCGGCGCCAGTCCCCGCGACCTGGCGCTATCCCTCCTCGGGCCCCGACGCCAAGTGTACCTTGACAGCGCCTCCACATGGTGTCGCGCCGCTCGGGAGCGTTCAGTCCGGCCACACGCTGTCCGCCCGGGCGGCGCGCGGCCATTATTCCCAGTTTTGCCACGCGCTGTCTGCCCAGGCGGTGCGTGGCCTGCTTCCACAAGGTGTTGCACCGATCAGGTGCTCTTCTCTCCTCCTCCTCCTCCTCCTCCTCCTCCTCCTCCTCCTCCTCCTCCCGCTGCTGGGCTGCCCAGCCGCCCCCGCCCCTTGCCAGCTGGGCCCTCCGCTCTTGGCGCCACGCCACCTTGGCTCACGGACCAGACTCCTGGTCCCCCAGAGCCTCACGGCCTAGAGTTACGGCCCTGAAGCGCAGCCCCTGGCCCAGTTGGCGCTGCACGGCCGTGGGGTTCCTCGCGCCAGGTTCGCCGCCGGCGCTGGGCTGCGGGCCACCGCCGCCCCGCCTGCCGGGGGCTTCCCGCAGGCGGGGCGCTCCTCGCCCGTTTCCCTTCCCCTCCTCCCCTGCCTTTTTCCCTCCCTCCTCGCTCGCCGCCATGGCGCCGCTTGCTGCCAATCCTGGCGCGCCGCCCCCCCTGGTATCCCTGGCTGAGGACCCCGCGCTAGGGCGCACCTTGCCCCAGCCATCCACCTGGTGGGCACAGCATTTTGTTGTCGGCAGTCTCCGATTTGGACGCCGGCACTGTCTACGACTTGTTCTACCTCGTACTGAGCATCGGCAGCGCCCGTGGGTGCACCGACGCCACGGCCTGGCTGCTGCCACGGCCCCCGGTGCCGCTGCTGGCCGCGCCGGCGCACTCAGCTTGGAATTCCTCCGCGTCTGAGTGCCCTGCGCCTCCACCTTTTCTTCGCGGCCGCCCTGTCTGTCTTGCTCCCACCTCTTGCACTCTGGCCGCGTATCGGTTGCTCCGGATCGCCGCTCGCTGGTGCAGTTCTGCCTCTCCGCTGACGTACACATGTAATGTTCGACTTGCTGGCTTCCCAGCGCAATCTTCAACGAGCCCTTGGCGACAGGGCCGCGCGAACTCCGAAACCCGTAATTTCACTCGATGGCACCTGCGGTGGTCGCGTACAAAAGGCTGATACGGATGGATGGATATAGATCTGTTGCATCAACAGTGAAATTCGCGGCGGCGTCGGGGTCTAAAGTGTAATATCCAAGTTTGCGATTTTCTCCACAAGCCGGTCTGCTGATGTTGAGGCGCGGTTTCTCAGAGTTGGCTTTAATATTGAATTCTCTGGGAGGCACAACAATAGCGAACGCCACCAAAACAACCTTTCCACCCGTGCCCGTGCCCCTGTCCCATTCCATTTCAATGAAGCAGGCCTGATCACTTCAGGCATATTTTTCACCATTTAGCTTCGACGCCAGTCCCAGCGCTACGAACCAAGCGTTGCCGCTTCCAACAGGAACTCTGCATGCGTATCCTGCCGTCGCAATGATGTGTAGATGGATGTTACCCTGGGAAAATGCCTTTCCCTCCCTCGCTTCCTTCCTCCCGCCCAGGCTGAAGGCGATGTCGAACGTCCGCGACCAGGAGAGAGTTTTTTTCAGAGTTTTTTCCTACCCTCTGGTTCATAGCGCGCGTTATGCCCCCCCCCCCCCCCCTCCCCACCCCTCCCCCACCCTTCCCCCTTCCCCCACCTGCCGCAGTGCGTCCAGCACCACAGTTTGTGGTACCGAGCTCACACGGCGGGGGGGCGACGTTACGTTATGCCCCCCCCCCCGCCACCCCCATCTCCTCCTGCCATGACGCCTCTGATCGCTGCGAGCGAGAAGTGAACTGATGATGGCAGCCTGCCGCATGGATTTGTACGTTAAGTATGCACATGCTCTGGGAGCGAAGGCCGTGATTCTCAATACTTCGGATTTGGTTTGTATCATTCCTTCCTCACTTACCTCCTCTATGTTCTCGTGGCTCCTACCTACGATCGGTTGTTCCATGAGTATAGCATACACTCCAACAGTTCTCTACAGGCGAGCGGGTGAGGTAACAGGTGACTCGGCTTCCCCTTTTTCCTTTTTCCGATGCGGTGGGCGTGATCGCCAATTTCGACCTGCAGGAATCGCTTCACCATTTGTTCTGAATGCTCATATTTTGTATAGAATCCAGGGCCATCGACTCGCCCTAGCGAGCCGCCGAGGTAGCGGGTGACATACTATCCCAGCGAGCGGTCGAGCTAACAGGTGACATGGTTTGGCGTGACCGCCAGTTTCGACCTGTTCGAGCCGCTCCACCACTTTCCTGAATGCGCATCTTTTTTTTCGGAGCCATCAACTCTCAGATGCCCGCTGAGAACTGACAGCGTCCTGTTCATCGTGAGTTTCTGATGCTGTTGTGGGACTTGCTGGGCGGTTGTCTGTCGTGAGCATCGAGATTCATATCCGTCTGATCGGTTGTTTCTGAAGTGCATAACCACCCAAACAATCTCTCTCATAGTTTTTCTTCTGTGTGCTCGGCTCACGCATCCAGGTTCTAACATACGACCGGTTGTCCCTGACGTACACTGAGGAGGAACATTATCATCGGTGTGTACGTTATGAAGTTGTTATGGGAGCGAAGACAATGATCATCAAAAGGCTGACTGTTTTACTTACTTCGTAATTGGCTTATACCACTTCCTCATCGCTTACCTCCTCTATGTCTCCCTGGCTCCAACCCACGATCGGTTGTTCCATAGATACACTGCAGCATCAACAAACATCTCTCGAGGGCGAATGCGGCAGCTGTTGGGCCTTCGCCGTCTCCACCGTGCTGCGGGCGTTCAGCGAGCTGTATCAGCAGGAGCCATCCTCCTCCTCCTCCTCCTCCTCCTCCTCCTCTTTTTCCTCTGGAGTTTCTGTGGCGGCGAGTTTGGCTGCCCCGAATCTGTTTGCGTGAAGGGGGGTGCGCATGACAGTCGCAATGTCTGTGTAGCTCAGGCTCGTGCGAAGTCTGCGAGTCGGAGGTCGAATGGGGTTTATGTATGGGGCCTGCCCAGGGCCTAGTGTCTTACAGGGCTCTGACATGAGGACCGGTGGTGTCCGTCTCCTTCACAGGGGTCGTCTCTAGGCTAGTGCGCTTTCCCCACCACGGGGCCCTGTATGTGGGAAGCTTGCTTTTGCAGCCACCAAGATCCAAACCGTTGTAGCCTCGGAACTACGGAACAGCATTGGGTCCGATGGTTCTTCGTTTTGCTTCCCTTTGCTCCTCCTCCTCCTCCTCCTCGTCCTCAGTCCTTCGGTTGATGGACCAAACCCTGTACCAGCCGCGCAACCGGGGCGACGGCGCAAACTTCCACGCGCCCCCCTGCCCCCGATTCAATGTTGATTGGCTGCGCCCGCGGGGTGCAGGATTTCGGCCAGTCGGCAGATCGACGACTCGCGCCACAGCCTGTCAAGATTTAATTGGGGGCGCGGGGGGCGAAAACAAAAATCGGAGAAACAGTTGCAGGATTTTGTCCATCAGCCGTTGTTCTCGGGCGTAGGCGCCCCGCTGCGGGATTTGCACCGCGGATTCCTAGCCTCTTATTTGCACGGGCAGTGCCCCTTGTCCGCCGCCGCTCGGGTCTAGCCCGGCGGGGAAGATGTGTGCGCAGGGTACCCCCCCCCCCTCGCGGGGAAGGGCGGGGCCAGTGGTCCCAAGGTAATTTGCCACCCTCGCGTGGATCTTACAACGGACCAGCGGCGGATGTCAGAAAGGTGAGTGAAGAGATGGGGCTCGTCCCGCTGCGTGATGGAGGAAGTGGAGGGGAATAAGGCAAATCGGAGGATGGAGGAGTATGCGCAGGCGTGCCCCAGCCCTGGTCGTGGGCAAGTGCTTCTTTCCACCAACAAAACAGAGCTGTCTATGTCGGGGGCAGGGATGGACGTGCGGCTTGCGTGGGGAGAGGTACGGTCGTTGTGAATGTTGGATTGGGCCGTCTGCGGGTTTGAGCCTTCTGCGGTTGCGGATTTCTTATCCTGGATGGGCATCAGATGAGTCGTACACCCATGGATCGACCAATCTCACATCAAGACGTTTCCGCAGCCATGTGACCCATGATTTTGCCCAAGTCGCAGTCGCAAACATGACTGCCGCGGGCAAGGAATTGAGCACGTCGTGGTGCTTGGGCGTTTCGTGGAGATGCGCACCCATCGGCTTATTTTTGTTGATATTATTATGCTAATGTGTCGTCGCCGTTGCAATTACGTTCATCTACAATTGCTTTCAGAAATATCACGGAGCATATCGTTCGGATGATCAGGCGGCACGATTTCTCACACAGGGAGACTCGGATTGTCCTGCCCATTTGACGTTTGGATTAACCTGCATATCAGCATTGAAGGTCGCATTCGCACATTGGCTCATCGAATGTGTCACTGGGGGTGCATCCCTTCCAGAACAGTGGTGCAACTTGTCGGTGATACCTATAGCTTATCATGCTGGCTTTGCTGGCGTTCACGTTGCGACGGGTAGACAAGGGCCAGCGTAGCCAAAGGCGAAGACGCAGCACGGGCTCGTTCTGCCTGGACCTTTACGGCTGGCCAGACAGCCAATGCGTGTGAGATTGCTGTGGCTCGCCGTGGCTTTGCTGCAGCGACCCTTGACTGGGTTATGGGATTTATGTGCTTTGATGTGCTTCGTGTTGACCACGAATCGGGCCCCCTTGGAGGAGCACATCAGGCTGGCTCTGAAGGATGGTGAGCCTTTGACGTGCCAACGGCACCCCTCCGCAATTGGTCCTGTATTGTTGTGTTGTTCCTTTCGCAGCCTGCTGGTTGCCTCAGACTATCTGCCGCATGCTGCGTGAGGGCTTACCCCGCGCTTCGCCGTCTTGGGTAATGCGCGGGGATGGGGAGCGGCGCAGCGCCGTCAGCGACACTCGCTCACAATAAAGCGCGGCGCGCGGCACCAAGCTGCTGGATCGAGTCGCAACCACATGCTGGTCCTTCGCGCAGTGCCCCGATCCACGCCAGAACGCGCGGGGCTCTTCGAGAACGCGCCACACCCTGCCAGGAGCACATGGCGCCATCTGGTGCACGAGCCGCGGTCGCCCGTTCCATAAGCGTGTGGCGGCGGAATGGTCGGCCGAGCCCCCCTCATCATCGCGGTGCGAGGGCGGGCGTGTTGGGCGGACAGCTCCGACGTTGGCCAGAGCTGGCCCCCTGGAGTGGCCAGGGAGCTCTCGTCTTTCCCGCGTTCGGCCCCTCGAGCTCCGCCCGACGCCGCGCGTCTGCTGCCACGCGCGCGCGGGCGCTGGCGGAGCAGTTGGCCGATCTCTCAAGCAGCTTGTGGAGTCGATTGACGAACCAACAACGCACACCCATACCCATCGGGGGGATCGGAGAGGGTTATGGGTGCGCGTTGTCGGATGGGGGTCCCCGCTCGAACGGGCGCGTCCCCCAGGGTCCGACAACCCGCACCCATACCCGCAGCCAGTCCTCCTCCCAACGACCCCCCTATGGGTATGGGTGTGTGTGTGTGTGTGTGTGTGTGTGGTGTGTGTGTGTGTGTGTGTGTGTGTGGTGTGTGTGTGTTGTTCGTTCGTCATCTATGGTCGGCGTTTTTGGGGGGGGGTTGGCGCGCCGATCTCAGCCCGATGCTGCGGTCCCCGAAGGGGGCCAGAGCCCCTCGCGCTCCCCGCCGCGCCTCGTCCCCCGCGAGCGGCGCCGCCGACGCCGAGGGCACGCTGCCTCACGCGTCGAGGAAGAGAAGGGCAGGCACACAGACTGTCGGAGTTCCGCGCGGGTGTCTTCGATCTGCGCTGGGCCCCCCCCCCATGGCGGAGCCTCCGCCGCAGCCCCTTGCGCGCTCCGCGGGCCTGGGATGGGCATCAGCGTCAAGGAGTCCGCGCGGACATTCCAAAGTTTGTGTCCATGCATGTTTAGACCCTCTTCTGATGTGGGCGCTGGCCGAGGGCATCTGCCGATCTTCATCAAACCGGGGGCGCCGTGGTCGGCGTTCTGGGGGAACTCGCCTCTATCGGCCAGGCCTTGTCCTCATGCCCCCCTCGTCCTACCAGCGGGGGCTGGATGAGACGCGGTGCCGCTGGCGTGCTGTCCCGTCCAGGGCCACGTTGGCGCCCTGAGCCAGGGGTACACTCGGTCTGCGGATCGCGTGCTTGGCAGGTGCCAAGTGGTCGTTTCGCGGCCCGACCTATGCCCACCCGCGCTGAGCGATCGCCAGTGCCGCGACACAGGCAGATGCTTGGCCCTGCTCCGTCTAGGGTCCCAGGCGTGGCCCTAGTCTCCACGGCGAGGACTTGTTCCAGTAGTTGGAGAGCCTCAGCGCCTCCTGTTGCGGCCGACCCATTTTCCGGTCTCGCCGAGTCAGGACATTTTTGGTGGAGTTAACAACCAGCTTGTCTTCAAGGGTTTATATATATATATGCATGTAGAGATATATTACAGTTACACACGATGTTACCGGCTCGTCACGCTTCGCCATTACAATCTTGGTCACATGGCGCCAGCGAGGTGTGCTGCGACCGCCATCGCCGTCAATTTGGAATGGGGGAATGGTGCGGCGCGGTCCCAGAGATTTTAGAGGTGGCATGCGTCACGGGTCTGGAAGGTCTCCCGAAGGCTCTAAGGCGCACGAGGTTTGTATTGTTCGTGAGGGTCACATGGTCACACGTCTCATGGAGTTTGAACGGCACATGGGGCTCATCGGCTTCGACAGGAACGAAGAGCTCCCTGGGGTTCATGTTTCATGGGGCTGGGGCTGGAGCTGGGCTCGAGCTGGATTTGGGGCTCGAGCTGGAGTTGAGCTGGAGCTGGAACTGGAGCTGGCGCTGGGGAGCTCCTGCAAATGCTGATGCAGCTCCACGTCCTCCTCCTCCCACTCCTCCTCTGGCTCCTCCTCTCGTAGAACACGAAACGCTGGACGGTTGGATCGGAGCACAGAAACTCTTTCGCGGGAGAGGAGTTCTGGCAACACTGAAAGCACGATTACCTAATCCAGCAAAGCCTTTTAGTAGCAGCAAAGGTGAATTTGTGGGACCTGCGGGTTCACCAGATCTGCGGCAACCGTGGGACCCATGGGACGTACGACACTTGTGTGGGAATTGCGGGACCTTCGACACCTGTAGTAGGACTTGTGGGATCTGTGGGACCTGTGATACTTGTGGTACTTGCGATGTCTGCGATACCCTTGGGACCTGTGGAATGTGCGGGACCTGTGGGACCCGTGGGATCTTTTGTAACTGTGGAGTGCGCGAGACGTTCGACACTTGTGAGACCTGTGGGACCTGTGCGACTTGTGGGACATGCGAGACCTGTGGCATTTGTGGGTCCTGCAAGACCTGTAACCTATTGGACCCGTGGGGCCTGTGGGACCAGTGGGACCTGTGGGACCTGTAGGACTTGCGAGATCTGCGAGGCCTGTGAGACCTGTTGGACCTGTGGTACCTGTAAGACCTCTGGGACCTGCAAGACCTTATACACCTGTGGGACCTGTAAGACCTCTGGGACCTGTGGGACCTGTTGGACCTGCGAGACCTGAGGGACATGTGGGACCTGTGGGACCTGCGAGGCTTGTCGGACCTGTTGAGCATGTGGGACGTTCGGAACCTATGAGGCCTCTGAAACCTGCGAGCTTTTTAGGACCTGTGGAACGTGAGGGGCTTGCAGAGGCCTCTATGGGAGGCTTTTTTGGGGTCTCTAGTGGGCCCACATGTTGGGGGATAAAGCTAGAAATGTTTGTTCGGGTTGTCCTTCTTGGGGCCCTCTTGGGTCGTATTGCGGGGCTTCTTCGGTTGTCTTGGGGTCCTCTTCGGCCGTTTGGGGGGCCTTTTGAGCCGTCTTGGGGCTCTCTTGAGATCC